ACACCCCTGGACACAAGCGCACACTTCTCTCTGTTCTCTTGCCAAATGATAGCAAACCGTATCTCATCTCTCATATCCAAACAGAGTTCCCCCCTTTCTCTTGAAATCTTTTTCCCGCATTTATATGAGACACACACACACACCTAACACACATACACAGACATTTGGGAGAGATGATAGTGTGAGTGAGATGGCGGGCTGCTATATCAGTGGTGGGACGGGTATATATTCCTGGCTGGTGCTGATAAGCCAACTGATGCCTTGCCTTATTTAGTCAGTACTCACTGCTGACACACTAGCAGAGTAGCACACACAGCATGCACTCTCACTGTATGCATTTGTCTTGTGTGTGTGTATGTGTGTGTGTGTGTGTGTGTGTGTGTGTGAGAGAGAGAGAGGTGTGCGCCCTGTGTGGAGAGAGGTGAGTTCTGATTAAAGTGAAATGCATATAGATAGTCTGTGTGTCTGGCGAGTGTTTGTGTGTGTGTGTGTGTGTGTGTGTGTAAGAGAGAGCGAGAGCGAGAGAGAGAGCAGATGGGTACACGTGCACATGTGCACCTAAAGCTTTACAACTAACTTGTACAGTTGCTAGCTTCCTATGTTGAGTACTGACATTAACAAAAAATGTAACTTGAGCAAAATTCTTCAATAACAGTGTAATATGAAACCAGTGCAACATTTTTTTCCGTATTCAAAATATTCTGTGCTTTCAGCCTAATTACCCAATAAATTAAACAAATTTAACACTGTACAAATATGTTTGGTTTTTAGCCTGTGGTCCACCTGCCCCTCCGCTAAATTTATGCTTTGGATAATCCAATTTCAAAACCACCAGTTTGAATCCGTTTCTTAACCAATGTCCTATCAGTCCCATCTGCAAACTGAATGTAAATCTCTTCATATGTGTGACAGATGACAAAAACAGCTTCACTGGCAGCAGTAAAAATGTGATGAGGATAAACACTCTAAGCAGTCCTGAATATCATTAGTCTCAACTTTTTGCTGATTGCTGGGAGGAAAAAATAAGCATCATATAAATATCTTTCCTATATCCGGAGGACCTGCATATTAGGTGTTGGTTAACCTTTCACTAAAGCCTGCAGAGCAAACAGTGCTATCAAATGGAAACACACACTTGGCCTCCACGCTCAGACTGGCACACAGTATGTTTGTTTTGGCATTTTAATCATTCTGAGCATCGTAGTGGAAGTGTGCTTAATCAACTTAACCGGAGAAAGGGAAGGTCAGATAAAACAGTACAGAAAATCAACATTTAAAAGTAGCTAAACTCACGTGTAGACATTTAAACTAACGCGTAGCATTTGTACGGTCGTTTCGACACTTGACGTACTTCATTTTAAGACTTCTGCTTTTTGAGATAGCATAGTGAGTGACGGAAAAGTTGAGGTGTAACAAAGGCCATTACAGTGGATTACACAGTGTATATACAGACACACCACTGAGCCACCAGGATACCTAAACTGCTGATCTGTAACAAAAAGGCTTTATGGGAGAAGCACCATGACACTGTAAATGTTTCAATGGCACAGTCACTTATCTCAGTTCACAGGCCTCTGACACAACTACAACAAACACACACACCCACCC